AACAACAACCACCACAAGTTAAAAAACTTGCTATTAGTGAGTTTGGTGATTTGTTTGTGTTTTGAGATCTCTCCCACGTCATCCTCATCTCCTCCCCCCTCCCCCGCCCCCGCCACTCATCACCTGCCTTCCTCACTTTTCTGAACCATAGCCTTTGCCGGTGTTGCCCTGTATCTGGAGTGCCCCGGACCCTTCCCCTCTCTCAATGCCCAGCCCAGGCGTCCCTCCCCTCCTTCTGCCGCCCCACCTTCAACACCAGTCGCACATGCAGAACTCTTCTCTAAGAGCATGGCTGCCCTTGCCCAAGAGAGAGTTCCTAGAGGCCGGGTCCACGTTCCCAAAGCCACAAGGGTCAGAAAGCCACACAATAGCCTGCGGTTTGTAAAGGAATAATGCCCACCCCTGCCCCACCCCAAGGACCACCGCTCCCATCACCGGTTCACCATCCAGTGGACTCAAAGTCAAGGTGACCTTGTGGGGGTCACAGTAGTCTGTCCCTCATGGTGTTTTACAATGGGCGAATTTTTTAGAGGGAAGTGCAACACCGTGGCTTTTTTCAGAGGGCCCTCTGGGTAGACTGGAAGCCCCCTCCTTTGGGTGACCAGCTGAAGGAGCCGGCCCTCTGGACCCCCAGGGGAGCCCACCCAGAGGAGAACTAGTTGCCATCAAGTGGGTCCCCATCGTGACAACTCCCGAGCTGCAGGGGAGAACTGGGCTCCTTCAGATTTCCACAGCCGTTCCCTTTTGGAACCAGGTGGCCAGGCACCTTTATTCCCAGGTGCTACAGAGGGGGTTCCAACAGCCAGCCTTCGGGTCAGTAGGTGAATGTTGAACTGCATCACCCAGGGCCTGGTAGCTCATGGGAAGGCTTGGGTGAATGAACAGAGAAATCTGCCAGCCTGGAAACCAGTCCTCCCTCGCTGGGCAGATCTGTGACGGTTCCACACCAAGGTGGGCAGAGAAACACCCCACAGTGTGAGCCCAAGGGGAACGGGCCATGTCTTGTGTTGTCAATCACAGCCCTTGTTAGTGATCTTGTTAAAATCTAACATTGCTACTACTTCATTTCATCCGTGTTCAACAGCACGTAAAACACAAACCAAAACCTACTGACTGATCCAGCTC